TGGTTGTTTTTTTGCGGATCCCCAAGCACCAGCTCATGGAACCCCGGGGACCCCAGTTTGAGAACCATGGATCTAAACATTTGGTTTTAGATTTTAAAGCATAAAAACCATCTGCTTGGTCAGCATTAGATGATATACAGACCATTTCCAAAAACTTAGAATATCATGGAAGAGTTGTTTAACTTCCATAATTCCATTCAGAAAGTTAATCTTTAATAGATGATAGATTCAGGGCCCACAATTTTAACGATTTCAAGTATTTATTTGTTTATTTTTACATAATTTGAGCTTCCAGTTCATGAAACCCACAAAAACAGGATTTCAAAAAATTAAAACACTGAAGAAATCAGCCAACACTTCTCTGTTTTTGCAAAAAAAGAAAAGAAACTAAGATCACAACAAATCAATCAAAATATGGTACTTTCAAAACGATATGTCAATCTTCAATACTTGGTTGGGAATCCCTTTGTCTTAATGCCACGTCACATCAAGGCAGTGATTGAGACAATCAGTCTGTGGCATTGACTGGGAGTTATGGAAGCCCAGATTTCCTTCATGCTTGCTGTCAGCTCTTCTTTGTTGTTGGGTCTGGTGCCCCTCCCTCATTTTCCTCTTGAGAACACCTCATAGATTCTCAATGTAGTTTAGGTCCAGCGAGTTGGCTGGCCAGTCGAGCACTGTGACATGGGCATCAAACCAGGTTTTGGTGCTTCTGGCAACATGGGCAGAGGCCAGGACCTGCTGGAAGATGAAATCTGCATCTTCATACAGATCCTCAGCAGAAGGAATCATGAAGTCCTCTAAAACATTCTGGTAAGACTGTTACAGTGATCTTGGATTTAAGAAAACAGAGTTTACCAACACCTGCATGGGACATTGCACCCCAAATCATGACTGACTGTGGATATTTCACACTGGACCTCAAGCAGTATGGGCTCTGTTCCTCACCCTTCTTCCTCCAAACCCATGGACCTTGATTTCTGAATGAAAGCCACACTTTACTTTCATCAGAAAAGAGGACAGAGGAACCCGACAGTTGTAGACCATCTCCAGGATGCGTCTGAATGTGGTGGTTTTTGAAGCTGTGACTCTCGCCTCATTCCACTTTTTCTGGATCTCTGCCAGATTCTGGGATCTTCTCTGTTTGATAATCTGCTGAAACCCACGGTCATCTCGTTTGCTGGAGCATATTCTCCTGCCGCATTTTGCCCTTCCACTAGACTTTCCATTGATATGC